ACTCGCGGACACAAATTTTGTTCTCTCTCTCTAGTTGATCTGTCTCCTTGTCTACTTTTTGAAAGGAAATAGTACTGGGCTCTCTTTATTGCTCTAGAGCAGCGGTTTTTAACCTGTGGCTCGCGACCCCTCTGGGGGTAGAATAACCCTTTCACATGGGTGGCCCGATTCATAACAGTGCCAAAATGACAGTCATGAAGGAGCAACGAAAATAATGTTATCGTCGGGGGTCCCCACCACAGGAGGAACGGTATGAGAGGGTCGCGGCCTGAGGAAGGTTGAGAACCGCTGCCCTAGAGGTTGGTTGCAGCATTGAATACCACGTCCTGGAGTTCCTCTGGTGACCATACTCATTCTTGAACGACTGCGCCTCATTCCGCAGCACAAATAGGTCGTAAGCAACCGTCCGGCCAGCTCCTGGCTCTCGATGGCCACATGTCCAACAGAACAAAATACTACCCGGTCGCAGGCCATCCCCATGATGCGAGATGGATGAGACCATGGACCCCATAGGGCTTTCAATGACTGGCTTTCCCAAGCAGGTGGTGAGACCACTCTTCCTAGTTTACCTTAGACCGGGAGCTGCGCTGAAACCTGTTCATCACCATAGCAATGCACAAGCCTCTACTTGCAAGATGTGCTTTGGCTGGGAATCGAACCCCGGCTCCCCTTCACAGAAGGGGAACTACGCTGGCCCCACAGCGTGACAGACCGGCTTTTATCTTCTCCAACGACTCCCCGACCATGAGATGCCACCATTTGCACTGCAATAAGCAGGGAGGCAGTGAACAAGCATGAGGCTGCACGGGCATGCATGTACTTTCTTTGCAACAGATCCAAGGGAACCTCGGAGAGAGCCCCCCACCTTAGTTTAAAAGGCCCGGCCAAATGGCCGCCAAAACCACTATTGTCGACTTACGCTACAAGGAGCGTCATGAAGAAAACCTGTTGCCCACCCTGTAGCCAATGTTTGGCACGATCACACTTTCTGATCGCTTTTTTATAATCCAGCGAGCAGCAAATGGGCCCCCAGAGTTGTGTCCATCAGCAGCTCCCTAATGACTAATGACGTGAAGGAAGCATCTTTTCATAAATGTATTAGTCATCTGCATTTCCTCTTCCAGGAACTGACCGATGCTGCTCTTGGCCCATGAGTGTCCTTTTGTTTGGGTGGAGGGGGAGTTCATCCCAGGGACTGATAGGCATCGTCGGTCGGCGGCAAACCTTTTCTCCAGGTCTGCTGCTTGCCTCTTAGCTTTGTTTTATGAGCCCAGTTTCTCTCCCGCTTTTAGGAAGCAAGAAAATGGACTGGGAAGGAGCCATAACCACAGGCCTCTCAGACGCCGCTGATCGCTCCCTCCCCTGTCCTCCAAGTTGCTTCCGCCTGCCCCTGTGCAAGCACTTAGGCCTGAGCTGCAGTAACCACTGCAGTTACGGTGCCGTCTCTCCCACTCAGCCGTGGGGCCTGGAAGCTAACGGCTGCTTCCTCCTCCTTTCTCTAGCTCCCTCAGGACCCGGCACAGAGCCGAGTCTACTGCAGACACGAAAACCAAACTGAATTAAGGCTGCCATTAGGAGCAGCATAACTTGATCCCAAATACAATTTCACCGCCTCCACGGAGCACGGACCATCATCCTCAGACGGTGGCTCTCTCCTTCTCAGAAACAGAGAGCACAGTAAGCAGGCCTGTGGCTCGGCTCCATGAACTATTAAACGACTCGGGCAACGATGTGGGCCGTTGTTAGAAGGTCCAGGAGACGGGGAGAAAAGACGACATGTAAGCAGACCACAATCATTGGCCCTGGGCTGGCCTCTTTGGGCAGGTTTGGGTATTAAAAGAATATTTATCCTCGTTAATGCAAAATTAAAGAGTTGTAAAAGCTCTTACAACCGCCACTCCCTCGGAGCAGGGCAATTATAACTCCCTCACCGGCTACCGGCTTGGCCCTGGTTTGGAGACAAGCAGTTCCCGTGGCCCCGGCTGGCCTGACAACAGGCAGATGGGGGCAGGGCAAGAGGGAGCACCTGAAGAGGAGCCTGTTCCAGCTTCTTTTGAGTGGGCTTCCAAAAGCCGGTGGGGAAAGTGGGGTTCAAAGGATGTGGCATCCCACCGCTGAGGGGGCTCTGCCTTGCTGCTGACTCTCCAGCAGAAAGGAGTGAGGCCAACATCCAGCCCTCGTAGCTGCATCCAGCACAGTAGCCCTTGCTGCTGCTCTTCCTCAAGCACCTGCAACAGCGTGTTGACGCTGCTGAACCCGGGGGCCGGGAGGAGCGGCCACTTGGTGATACTGTGCCCTCTGCTTTTGTCTCTCTATGCACAGGCCAATTCTCTCACCCTCTCGATAGATATCAAGATCCAGACAAAAGAATGGCTATAGCTATAATAATAGATGGCTGATAATAGCTATAGATGTATAACAGCATAACTCTATAGATAACAATATTGCATATGGTATATAATAGCTATAAATATATCATAATATTATATATAACAACATAAGAGCTATAGATGTAAGACTAGACCATGCACACGGCCATCAAGTCAATTCCAACTCATAGCTACCTTATATGATAGCTGTGTACATGTATATATGTGTGTGCATGTATATATATATAGGTGTGTGTATATATGTTTATATATAATAACATATAATTTTTAAAGAATTCTAACAAATGTCCCAACATGGAACTCATTATTCCTATGGGAACTGAATCCCTCTTTAGATGGTTGTGTGGGAAGTTCCTCTCCTCCCTAAGCCTCTGTGCTCCCCTGTCCCGTGACCCTTCCGGAGACTCGCCGTCTAAAGTTGCACAGACCTGGGTCCAAAAGTGGAGTCAGAGGACCCTGGGCATATTAGGACCCTGAACCTGGACTTCTCTTCTGCACAGTGGGGACAGGGATGCACCCCATGTCCCGAAGCTGCTGGCTAAGCTCAGTGAGATCATGGAGGAAAACGTCCTTGACCCGCACCTGGCGTGCGATGTGCTCGACGATGTTTAATTCACCTGTGTCTCTCTCGAGGGCCAAGCAGGGCAGGCCATCACCTGTGTGCTCAGACAGACCTTCTAATATGAAGAGCCAGGCAAAATAATGGTTGGCAACCGAGCCCATCCAAAAAACATGGCCGGAAATTTTTTAAATCCCAGGCATCTGTGATTATAGATATATAGACACAGGAATTGGATTCAGTTTCTTAGGATTATGACAAGGGAGGTTAGAAGGAAATGACGATCTAATAATAACGATAATGAGGACAAGAATGAAGAAAATGTTCTAAAATTGATTGTGGCAATGACTGCCTAACTTCTTGACATCTTCCCACCATTGAGTTGTACGGTATGTGAATGTGCCAATAAAATGGTTTCAAAAAGAACAGAGTACCGGGGCAGTCGGGCAGGTGGAGGAGCACAGGGGCCTCAAGGATCTCTTGGGCGATGACTGTGCAGCTGATTCCCCAGGGGTAACTTCCAGGACCGGCTGACCAACCTTGGGGGTGAATGCAGGCAAGGTGATTCCATAACCTCCTACACAGCAGGTATATGGCAGGTGCCCCGGGGCCCTCTTCCTCACTTCACAGAGGAGGCACTACTGCAGATCCTACACCCAAATTCGGAAGATGTCTCAGCATCTTCCACAGCTCCGGCTAACTCCTGGTTGGCAGCACTCATTCTCGGGGACCATGAGGGAAATAACGAGGAAGCTGTAGAAAGCCGCTCCCACGAATCCTACAGGTAAGTCCTGGAAAAGTCTTCCATCCTTCTCCCTGTTCATGGATAAGGAGCCCTGGTGCTTCAGTAGGCTGAACATTGAGCTGCCAAACACCAAGCTGGCGGTTCAAACCCACCAGCTGTAGTATTAAATTAAAAGTTGACTCGGAGGGGGGGAACAGCCCCCACCGCTAATACTCTCTACGAGTTCAGTAATACTACTTCTGGGTTCAGTAATGCACAATGGTACGGTTGAGATATATAAGTATTATATTAAAGTCATTGAGAGCATGAGAGATAATACAATAATACGGTCAGACATATTACATGGTAACATTGCTCACCTCCGCCCCGCTTGGTGGTCCTCGTGGGGGGAACCTGGCTGCCAGAGCAGGAGCCGCCTCCCTCGCGGGAGCTGCCCTCTCATCCATCGCCCTCATGGGAGCAGCCCTCACGGGAAGCAGCCCTCCTTCCTCAGCCGCCCTCTGCCAGCCACCCTCGGCCAGCCACCCCGGCCAGCCACCTCGGCCAGCCACCTCGGCCAGCCACCCTCTGCTAACCACCTCCCGAGAACCAGGGAGCCTCCTTATTTATAGCTAACCACACATCATATCACTTTAGGGGGAGACATCACAGCATCATGCATCACAGAAAGGGGCAATACAACCTGCATCATAGGGAGGGGTTGCAACATAAGCAATACAAGCAATAGGAGGGGGATGACCTAGTCATCTTAGAGTGGTCCTGGGCTTGCCTTTGGGCACTGCTTCGAGGGAACAATAACAGAAAGGAGTGGGCCCTATTTGGGGTGAGTCAGACTATGCAGTCTGGCTGCTCTAGATGGCTGATGTTAAGGAGAATAACCTCTGACCTATTTTCGCTGCCTAAGGAACAGTCATTCTCAAGCTAAGTCTGGCATATATTTTGGGGAGACAACTTAAGAGAAATCCTTCTGTTCCTCACCACCAGCCACTCCGCGGGAGAAAGAAGAGGCAGTCTGCTCCCGTCAAGATTCACAGCCTCTGTCTTCTAGGGTTGCTACAACTCGACATGATGGCAGTAGGCTGGGTTCATGGGTGATGAGCTAATGATCTATGAATGGATAGGTCCCTTACCACGACACCCTTGTACCATGCATGCGGGATCCAAGAGGTAGCCTAGGCCATTCCATCCCCAGGAGAAGCCAGTCCCCTGGGACAATACTGGGCCCTTCATTGAGAGCCTTTGTAGCACTCTCTAGGCCACTACGTGACTGCTAGCAGCATGCAATCATCCCCAGAACCCAACCTACCTTGGCCTGTTTTCCAAAACACGACTCCGTGCATCTGTCCGGACACGCCGATGGCCCCGACTTTCCGGAGCTCCTGCCGGGGAAGGGCAGCCAAGCACTCATGGAGGGCTTGGAGGATTCGGCTCACATCCTGCTCCCGCCCCTGGAAAAAGAAGGGCGCACACGTGCTGTCTGTCCACTTGCACGGGAAAGTGGATTCATGCAGATGTAGTTAGGTTAACATTAAACCTTACCATGTGTTCTCCCTTTTGATCCGTTTTAACTTTGTTCTAGATTTTTATTATTTTCTGCTTTCTTTTGGATTGAAGTTTTTCTGTGCTTTATTTTATTTGGGGGGGGGGGAGGTGGTGCCCAATTGTCTTTATATTGGTCCTGGGGTCTAGAAGCCAGGTGAAATGGGGGGGGGGGTTGCATGCTTTTGTTTATATGAAATCCACGATAGGTAAATCTAGAGAGACAGTAACTGAACAGATAGTGTCTTAGGATCATAACAAGGGAGTTTGGGGACAGGAGGGGAAAGGGGGAATGAGGACAAGAATGACGAAAATGTTCCCAAACTGATTGTGGTGATGACTGCATAACTCTTTTTGATACTTTTCAACCAACGTATTGTATGGTATGTGAATTATATGTCAATACACCTGTTTTTAAAAGAACAAGAACAGAGCACACTGGTCAGGGGGCAGGCAGGCAGGTGGAGGAGGACAGAGGCCTCAAGGTATCTTCTGGGTAATAACCATGCCACTAATTTCACAGGGGTCACGTCCAGAACCAGTTGACCAGCCTTGGAGGTGAGTGCAGGCCGAGATAACTCCACGACCTCTTACACAGCAGGGGTGTGGCAGGTGGCCTTTCCCTCACTTCCCAGAGGAGGCACCATGGCAGCCTAGGTTCCGCAAAGAGCCCGGGCCCTGTCCTCCATTCTGGGTGAGTCTGAGCTTCGTAAAGCAGTCCTGTGTGGCACAAATGGTGAAGTACTTGTCTACTAACTAAAAGGTTGGCAGTTCAAATCCACGCAGAAGCACCTCGGAAGAAAGGCCAGGAGACCTGCTTCCTAAAGCTCACAGCCATGGAAAATCCTATGGACCACAGCTTTACTCTGTAGTTTCCAGGAGTCCGAATCAACTTACTGACACATTTGGTGGAGGCAGGGGGCCTGGGGCTGAGTAAAGCCTGCAGGAATGTATAGCCTCGCAGATAGGACAGGAAAGACCACGCTGTAAGGGGAAATGAGATAAGGATCTTCTTACACAAAGCACCTGGCCTGGAGTGGGCGATGAAGATACAGGTGCACAGCAGGAGCACACTGGCAGGAGAGCTGTTCAAAAGGCCTCCTGATCCAGGAGGCTGAGCCCCAGGGCTTTCATCTACTTGGGCATTAGCTCAGATTTGACCAACACTGGCTGAGTTCCATAAGGGTCCAGCCCTAGACCTTGAAACAAACAAGCACGCAGAGCCATCTAAGAGAGACCCTCAAGGAGGGAGGCCTGGAAACACCTAGGGCACAGAATCAGCAGAGCAGGGATGTATGAAGACTGGCGAAAAACCAGGCTGGAAAAGAAGACTGGTGCTGAGCCGCGAAGAAGGGGTTCTTCAGAAGGTAAGGTGAGGCTCCTCCGGCTTTCTGAATGAGGGCATGTGGTCATCAGAGCTGTGTTTTCAGAAGATCAATGACAATAGTTTAGGCTGCATGGGGTCCCTAGGTAATGCAGTTAATGAACTCAGCTGCAAACTGAAAGGTTGATGGTTTGAGTCCACTCATAGGTGCCAGTGTGCTTAATACAACTGAATGATGGATTGTTATAAGATGTCTAACAGCCCCCCAGTAAAATGATTCATAATAAAAAAGTGTTTTAAACACCACACACAAAAATCCTATATCCAGGGCGGATGAACCCTTCAGGACCAGTGTGACTCAGACCTACCAAATCTGGAATCTGTTACCACCTATTTCTCTTTCAATTATGAAAGCCCTGTGGCATAGTAGATATGGAAACAGGATCCCAGCAGACGCCGTTGAACTCGGTCAGCTAAGAAGTAAGCTAAGAACTAAAAAAAACAAACTCACTGCCATTGAGTTGATGCCAACTAGTTGCAAGGTAGAACTGCCCTTGCCCGTTTCCAAGACTGTAACTGTTTAGGGGAGTAGACAGCCCTACCTTTCTCCCGTGGAGCAGCTGGTGGTTTCAAACTGCTGACCTTGCAGTCAGCAGCCCACGGAGTAACCGCTATGCCACCACAGCTCCGAGCTAAGAAGGTCACCACAGAATGTTCACTTGGGACAACATCCCAAATGCCATCATCATTTTCTTGGTGAATAAGTGCATTTCAAAGTGAGAAAATGGACACTCAAATATATGTTCCCTTAAAAGAATCAAACCTATATTATTAATCATTGTGCTTAAGGAATCTTCAGCTCTTTGGCACTTTAAATAAATGTATGTGTTAAAGAGAACTTGACCTAGGTTACTTTTATAACGCCACAATTTGAAAAGTGGAGTAGCTGATCTAGATATGTGATTACCAGCGATTTCTTCAAGTACCCGGGAAATGGCATGAGAAGATCATGGAGTTTTCCCTCGCACTTTTCAAAGCCCCTCTCCTATTCATTTCTGCAAAGATTTGAGACGTATAACAGCACTCCAGTTCACCCACGCGTATGCGTTTTCTTAGTGTTATAGCTCAAACAGAATCGTTGTGAGGACGGTGCGGGAAGGAGGGGGCGTCCTTGCTGCTGTTCATGGATTAACTGAGAGTCAGAACGGACAACAAGAACAACCATTACGTGGGCCTTCTGGAACATGTTGAAAGCCGTGTGGTCCTAGAAGGACACCCGCAGATGGAGCCCTCAGGCTCCCCACTTCCCTGCAAAGAATACACCAGCCTCCTCACCTCGGAGCTGGCCACCATCCGCCTGCTGAGCTTGCTCCAGGGCAGCTCTTGGTGCCCAAGAAACACGAACCAAGGAGCAGTAAGAAGGGCAAGAGCAGGGCGAGGGAAAGGGAGTGGAGAGGGAACCCATAGCGTAGGCCTGAGGCCGCAACTGTTAACATGAATGTCTTTATGGACAGAACTGATAAGGCTGTGAAAGACCGGGAGCCAGGAGTCACGTGGCTGTGCATGATCTCCTGAGGGAAGGACAGAGGGACTTGTAGGGCGGAGGCTGGAAGCAGAGGAAGGTGCTCCCGTGGCCAGTCCGCACTGAGATGATGCAGTCTGAGTGTGAAAGACGCACTGGACATCAGGGTTTCTATGAGAAAAAGAATGCATACTATCTCACTAGTCGTTTTTATACTGTTTATTACACGCTGAGATGATAATCAGTCTAGATGCAATTAGGTTCCTCATGTAAAATCAACATGCCGCCTGTTTCTTGTTTTTTTCATACAGCGACTAGAGATGGAAAACGAGACATGTGGCTAGCAATTGTGGCGTTTCTAATGAACAGTGCTGGTTTCAAGAGGTCCCACATGGTGGTCGGAGAGCTAATGCCACATCCCAAGACAAGGCGCTGCCTTTGGAAAAGGACCAGGGGAGAGTGAGCTGTGTGGATGGGAGGAAGGGCCGGAAAGAGAGTACAGAAGAGCTTCCAGCATAAAGCAGCTAGTTTTAAGGGTGCCGGTGCTCGGAGCACGAGGAACACTGGTGGCATAGCGGTGAAGTCTTGGGCTGCTGACCAGCAAGGTCAGCGGTTCAAAACCACCAGCTGCTGCCCAGAAGACAGGTTTTCTAAAACCCACACGGAGAGTTCTACTGTGTGCTATAGGGTCACTGTGTGTCAGAATCAACTCGAAGGCAGTGAGTTTGCATTTGGAGCTCAGGGAGTGGAGCTTGGACATCCTTTGATGCACGGTACTAATCTTACCTCCAGAGCAAATGCTTTAGCTGTAGGCTTTTTAAAAGGTGCTTTAGGAACTTAGTCACTACCTCCTCCCACAACACTACCTCCTGCCTTTGTGGTCTTGCCCCTGAGTCAGTTGGGACTCTCGGCAAGCCCCCACTCCATGGGTTTTACAAAGCTGCAACCTTTCAGAAGCAAATTTCCAGACCTGCCTTCCTAGGGCCTCTGGCTAGGTTCAACCTGGCCACCTGTTGGCTAGTAGTTGAACACCAAACTATTTGTACCATCCACCCGTTTTTACAGGTGAGGAAATAGGAGGCCAGGGAGGAAAAATAAACAGTGCACACTATGAGTGACAAGTGTGGACATGAGGAAAGTAAAACCCATTAGGTCTGTTTAGCAATGTGGAGGCGTTTTTTTGATTGTCCAAACTGAGAAGGGTGGAAGTACTATCAAGTGTCCAGGGGACAGAGAGGCCAGGAAGGCTGCTGAACATCTGACAATGCATAAGCCAGCCCCACAACAAAGAACTACCCATCCCGTGCCCGGCTATCAAAAGGTATAGCGTCTGGGGTCTTAAAGGCTTCAAGGTAAACAAGCGGCCATCTAGCTCA